TCAACTCAGGAACATTGTTCTTTTGAGAAATGTATAAAATTTTGTGAAGAGTTTGTCAAATTATATTGAGAAACTGAACCTAAAAATTTATGAATTATATCAGTATAGTTCGTGTTCTAAATTTTATTTATATTTTATGAGTGCATCTGTAAGTGTATTTTATAGAAACTATGTTTTTAATTTTATTCCTAATTTAACATGTATAGTTACACAAAACAGTCAATAGATGGCGGGAGCTGTCTGCAAGATCTTGTTTTATGAATAAGTCTGTTTCTTTACTTTTTGTAGATGGCATCGGATTTGCCGCGCACATTATGCTTCAAACTTTTGCTTGTAGTGTTATAAAAATTCTATTAATATGTCTGTTTTTGATAATATCTCATTGGGAAATTTACGTTTTAATTGAAATGTATTTTTTAGTTTCTAAATATTGAAGGTATATTGGAAACAAATACTCTGATAGTGGACTCATTGTGTTTAAGTATTTTTTAAGGTTTGCAGAGGGTGTTAGTACATTTTTTAGACGACTTTGCTTTGCTATAAAATAATCGTCTGAATAGAAAATATTTTTCTAATTGCAACTATATTTTTGAAAGGGTAAATTATCATATGCTATTTGACAATTTTGTTTTTATGCAAAATGGTGCTTTTAAAGAAGCAATGGGCGAAAGGCTATGTTTGTGATTTTTCCGAAGAAAATTATTCGTATTTAGTTATTAAAAATACTGTGAATGCCATGATGTTTCGATATCTAAAGAAACGATAGAGAATATTGTCGATAAGAAAAGAAAATATCGTCAAAGTTTGGCCTCAAGGAGAAAAATTGTTCAAAATACGCATTCAAGGAAAAAACGGAATGTTTCGAATGTTGCAAACCAAAGTACTTTAATGTTAAAAGAAAATCTTCGAAGTCAAAGAGCAGTTGCATAATCATTAAAATGATCAATGTATACTGTAAATAAAGTGAATACTGTTGATTTGAACCTTAAAAAGGCGAAAAAAGATAATATTCATCGTTTTTCTCCACGACTTATCGCTGAATCATGAACGCGCTCCATAATTCTTTGTGAGAAACATTTATCCGAACTAAAATGGAAAAGTGTTGTCATAATAGATGAAACTTGAGATATACATTGAACATTACTGATAAACCTTACTTAAATGGTTGCAATAAAAAGAGATCCATTCATATCATCAAAGAGAAGGAAAAAAATGTTAAAACATGGTTCAAGATAGCTCAGGAAAGTTTTTCTAAGGGATTTATGATTACTGCTGGTTTTTCTAGTAAAAATAAATTAAAAATAAAGAGAGTGGAGAAAAATGTTAAGATCAACTTCCCATATAAAATACCTTCTCTTTATACACAATGGGATCAATCAGTAGAAGTTCATCAAGACAAAGCAAGCAGCGACAAATTAAAATCTACAGTTAATTTTCTGGAAAAAATGGAAAAAGAACAGGGTATCCCTATTAATACCCTACTAAATCCCGACATTCATATCCCTACTAAATCTCCTCATGTATTATCCACGGACGTTTGCGCTTTTGGACTTGTAAAAAGCGTATTGTCCAAACATCGACGTACAACCCTCCTTGGACTTTGGAAAGCTGTTCAAGAAGAATGGGATTAAATACCTCTTCCACTACTAAAAAAAGCTTTGTTGTCTTTGAAATGACAGTGTAGAAAGATAGTAAAGATAAAGAGTTTTCAAATGGAATATTCAAAATAAAAAAATTGTGGAGAAAATATTTCTGAAAATACAATGAAAATAATTTAAAAATGTGTGAACAGCATTTGTTTATTAAGGGTCTGTTCAGAACAACCGTTGACGGGTAATCTCGGCGTAGTTCTAATTTCGGGTTTTTTTTTTTTTTTTTTTTTTTTTTTTTTTTGACTGCCCTTCCTGATATATTTCAGATTTTTTTGGTCATTAAAACTTAGTAATCTTCAAAGGTTTTTTTTTTCTTTTCTCAACTTCATCTTATTTTTATATAAATGATCCGAAAGATCCGAGATTCAAAATGTTCGAGAAAATTTTAGGATTCGGATTCGAGAAAATTTAGAATTCATTCTACCTGCATTTTGAATCTGGGAATCTGCTCCGCATGAATAACGATGTGCGATCATGACGTAAAGTTTCTGCAGTTTAGCGTAAATTTGTCTTCAGATTTTTCAGAATTTTAAAGAAGGATCACGTATCATTTCAAGTACTCTAAAATTTAATTTGTTTTTCTATTTTTATTTCTTGATAGAAAGGAATGATATTGACTCTTTCTCATAAGTCATAAACATGTCATTTAAAAGTGCTGAGAGCAGCTATTTTAAATTAAGCTTTCTCTTAATTATTTACTATGAATATTTTCCCCGTTACCTAACAATAATTGAATTTAACACTAAACACCTTTCATCTTCACTCGCGTTATAATGCATCATTGAAGAGAAGCGAACGAAATATAATTAACGTACAGAGGATAAAGAGTCTTAGCGGATTATGAACTTCTAGTACAGCCTTGCACAAAAGTTTCAACAGCTTAGTGTTGAATCGTAGTTCTGTTTCCTTTATTTATTATTACACTATACGATCATAAGCAGTTAGTTATTTTAGTAATGTCCTTATCATAACATTTTAGAAGAAATAGATTTAAATCTAAATGCATCAACTATTTAAATTTAAATGCATCAACAGACTGGAAAAGTCCTAAAATAAATTTCTGAAGCAAAATTGTGACGTTATCATTTATTAATATGAAGGTTACCACCAAGAGGGTTAGAATAGATGTCACAAAAGCCTTGATGTCACAAAAGTGAAGCCAAGGAAATGTCAGCAATGTGACGTCACTACTTATCATGGCCGCCATACAACCTACAGTTAAGACTATAGAACATATTGTTAAATAAAATTACATTGACTTTGAGAGCAAGTAACAATGTCCGCAGGCTCAGAAAAGTATCTTTAGGCATTATTTACATAAAACACCATTGAAACTTCCACATCTTCCACGCTTTACCAAATATACATTTGTGTTATAGCTACCATTTACACATCTTAATATACCTAAATTTGATTAAATTAGAACGGGTGACTTATAAACGTTCAATGAATAGCTAACACGTAGACAATACCGATTAGAATATAAACAAAACGAACTAGAACACAGTCTATGGCAGAGATCATGATAAGTCGTGACGTCATACCGTAACGTTTCCTGGCTTCATTTTCATTGCACGGGACATACGGGGAGGCTTACTCCATTTACTTTAACCTCGTTGGTTGCCACGCTTATACAGAACAGTTGGATAACTCTGACAATGTGGCAACTAAGGAATTGTTCGCTGGAAAAGTAAACAGAAGATGCATTCCGAAATCGAACATGCAAGATTTCTTTAGCAATATTAACTCGTATATGAGCATGAGACATGTGACGTTAATTTAGAATATTTAAATTTAATAATTACCTAATAATTAATTATCAGATTCAGATAGCCTTAATATCCGTATTTAGGAAAATAACTTTACTTAAATTGATTAATTTAAAAGTAAGCATTAATTAAATCTCTTAATTAAAATTAATCAATAGAATTTTAATTCAGAATATCTGAATTTTAAATTTTAGAAGTTTAAGGTTAATATCTTGAAAAACGTTAACGTTAAGAGCTATTGTGAAGATTTTTTTGCTCTTTCAACTTTTTGGCAGGTGGTGGCAACCGTGTCGAATGGGAATTATTATTTTAAGTATGTTACAGAGTATTCATAGGTTAGTAATTATTTTAAGTATGCTACAGAATATTCGTTGGTATTATTGTAGCATGCTACAGAGTTATTCGTTGGTTACTTTAATTGTGGCAGAGCAATGGAAGGATGTCTGCATAAGAGGAGAGAGGCTTCGTGGAGGACGTTCCGAGGGAAACTGGCTCGTATGCACGTTACACAGCAAGAAAACCACGGAAGCGGCCATGCAGCCAGCCCGTTCGTAGGGATTCGAACCGCAGACCGAACTACCAATATTCAGCAACTTTACCGCTCGGTCGCTGGTGGGCTAGTATGCTACACAGAACAGGAATATTCGACATCTATAAAAAAGACTGTTTCGAAGTAATAGATATGTTATACAATTAACCAAATGAAATGGATTATAATCTTCCTATATTTTACAAATATTGTTTTTTTTTTGGGTTTTTTTTTTTCCAATGCAATGTGAACAATAACAAATGTAACCCAGTCCATTAATCCATACATGGACGGATGTGGTGGTCTCTTTATTATAGAGGCACCTAATAGGTAGGCCACCATCGCCTTTCCTATGAAGGGACGGACAGTTACAACCATGCCTTCTCCGGGATTCGAACTCAGGCTCTTCGGCATCATCGCAGTCAGCTTCCCTGACCTGAGGAGGCTATTTTACAAATGTTTACAATGGAGATGATTTTAAACAAGCAATAGGGTTCTAACGGAGAAGTGATTTTACAGGCTTATTTACCCCATCGAAGCAGCAAAAATCCTTTGCAGCAGTGCTCTAATATTGTAGCAATCCTTTGCTGCAAAATGCAGCAGCGAAATCCTAAATGAATTGCAGTAAATGGTTAAGACTCTTAAGACAGGCGCTATGATGCGATTGAAGCACGTGTTCGCTAGCGCATGTACATCAAATTCCAGAAGGCGCAAAATATGGACTGATTAACAATTGTCTCAACCCTCACAGATATATATTAAGTTTATTAAATGATTTTATAAATTTATAAATATTGTGGGCCTCCTCGCCAGGTTATTACGGTTTGCGGACGAATGCGAAATGCTACAATTTGCACCGTTGGTTTGTTTATATCTTTGATCGTTCTCAAAGTTTCATGGCAATTCTTGTCAGAAAGTTCGATAGGTTTCCGAGTAAATTGCTTCTAACTGTTTTAACTACATCTGTACCATATCGCAAAGTACATGAAATCTTTTGTTGGGTACTGGATAAAAAATTTAAAAGTTTACTCAGCATATAAAATTACTTACCTTCGTGAAAATTGTATTTGTGATGTATGTCCAAATTCCATCCACCAATGTCCGAAACGCTCATATCATGACCACTAACTTGAGTCGTCTGTACTTCCCAAATGATCTTCATGCATGACGCATATTCGTACCCCACGAAAACTGCAAAATTTACAGTTATGAGAATACAAATCACACGAACAATCCTACATAGTCTGCGAATTCATGAAAGAATGTAAAATATTTTGGCATCATATATAATGAAAATAAAACCTGATGTGGACATGACATCCTATCAAAAATTGAAAGGTATAGAAAAACATAAAACCCCAAATACAGTTAAAACAATTAAACAAAATTTTTACAATTAAACTTAGAATTTCTACTCAAACACAAGCAATTCGGCCAGCGGGAAAAAAGGCAGATTTTTTTGGTTCACAAAACCGAAAGTTTGCTTTCAGTTTTGTGAACTTTGTGATGAAAGTTTACTTTCAGTTCCACTCCGCCAAAACACACTGAAGGTGCAGAAACTGACTTAATTAATCATTCTGCTAATTGTCAAATGTAAACAAATATAGCTGCTAAGTTAGGCTTAGCCACACTTAAACAATATTTAAATTATTAATTCTGCAATTATTGCATGCAGATTAATTAAAGACATAGAAACCTTAACCAGAATATAACAGCAATATAATTTAATCATTTTAAAGCAAAAAATACACAATTTACCAATATATAAGAATAAAAAATCTGAGCTCACCGAGCCGAGTAACAGAATGGGTACACTTATATTTATATACTTTTGGTGAGCCTGATAGCATCCAAAGAAGGATGTGCACAATTATATTTTATAGCAAGCTTATATATAAAATTTCAACGTTTTAAGGCTGCTCGTTTTTGAGTTATGCGAGATACATACGTGCAGATGCGTACATAGATACGATACATCTTACGTGTTCTTTGGAAATATCATTCAGAAGTGAGATTTTCGACACAAATTTGTGTCATACCTAAATATATAATTACTAGAACGTGGAAGATATTAGCGTTACTTAAACCGCGAAAATAAGTAAATTTCTTATCAAACTGGTAAGAAAAGCCCTGGGATTATGATAGTTTGCTTTAGCAATATTTAGTAAACAGTAAATCCTTCATAGGCATTAAATGCTTGTGGAATCATTAGAGATTTTGATGCCGTAGACGTGAAAAATGTTCTTTTTGAAGTTCGAACTTTGGTTTTGTCGAATACGCTTCTAGTATTCTTCAAATTCCACCCCGAAAGCATGCGGAAAAAAGGGAGAAAATACTTTATACGCTTCAGTTGTACTGTAGAGTGATTAGGTTATTTCGCAGCAAGAGACGAGAAATGAGCAGTCCCTTCGCCGGGACTCGAACCCAGACCTCTAGATCACGCGCCGAGTGTGTTATCATTACATTGCGAAGGTATGCAGAAAGAAGGGAGAAAAAGCCCTTTTAAAGGACGACTGGGGATTAGGCTACACAGTCGCCAAATCCTGGGGGGGGGGGGGTTTAAGAATGCTCATTCATCAACATTTTTTTAGCTCGGGCGCTACTGTAGAAGAGTCATTAGGTATTTTTGAACAGGAGACATGAAAAATGAGAATGCCTTCGCCGGGACTCGAACCTGGATCTCTCGAATACGCGCCGAGTATGCCACCGTTACACCACGAAGGCAAGCAGAAAGGAGGGTGAAAATACCTTATAGTAATTATGTATTTTTATATGTATTTTATATGATTTTTTTTTTTTTGTTTTTACTTGGCGCAGCCCTTGTTTGTCATAAAATCTTGTCGATTAGGTGGATGGGGCTGCGCCTTATTTGTCCTTATAGTACTACCCGGGATTCGGATGATACCCGAATAGTCCGCCCGGATGTCCGGACCCTGCTCTCTCCTTATAGTACTACCAATTAACTTAAAAGAATATCGAATTAATTGTTTCGCTCTCATTCTACGCACGGCTTACTTGTGAAAAATACTATAACCTAGTCTAGAAAATTCTTCCATTTCTGTTACTAAGACATAAAGCTTCTTTACTGATCCAAGATTCGAATAGACTTATCAATGTCTTTTCGTCGAGGAAAATTCTTGAAAAACACTTTCTTTCGCAAAATAATCCGATTTTCTGTTTTCTGCAATTCTGACTGGCCATTTAATCCGAAACTGTTGAGCATTCCCTTTGTGTGCATACCTTTTCTGCTCTAAAGTGTTTATGGAGCGATCGGTACTCGAGAGCTGTATGATTTGGAAGGATTACTATGCTCTGAAAAATATTGCCGCCGGTGTTAAGGTAATCATCTTATTAACAAATGTGTTTAAAGGTACCCTTTTGTAGAACTCTGTTGTTTGCTGCATAACAAAGTTCATTATAGTTCTTTTTTTGCCTGAAATTGTCGTCCTTTTGGAATTTTATAGCCGGTCCGAAATGAAGGAACAGAATGACGGTATCTATTTAAACATCTCCAGCTTCGACTTCAGGATCGACGTTGGAAGAAGGGCGTTATAACAAAATAGAATAGGATCTTTAGAGTGTAAAGCTAGGCTTATAAACGCATTTAGCACCAAGATCAGTGTTTCTGCCTTTGATTGCAAAACATTGTTCGAGCCGTGAAAGCTATATGAAGTTCGTTGCATTCAGATTTATTATAAGTGAGGTATTTGTACTCATATCCCACTTATAAATCTTAATGGAACGAATTTCGTACTACTCTCATGGCTCGAGCAATGTTTCTAAGGTATTTTCTCCCTCCTTTCTACATGCCTTCATGGTGTAAAGGTAACACGCTCGGCGTGTATTCGAGAGGTCGAGGTTCGAGTCCCAGCGAGGGCATTACTCATTTTTCACGTTTCTTACTTCTTCATGCACACCATTCAATGCCGCTGTCTAGCAGAACATAATTTAATCACTATGTAAGGGATGATCATCTTCTTTATGTGTAAGAGCTGAGGACGCCCGGGTAAGAAATGGAAAGTCCATAGTTCGAAACATATCAAGAGTTTTTCAAGTTTCCCGATACGGCATGTTGGAAGTACAAAATGAATTAAAATTTGGTGGCACATTTAACAGTACACAGTTTTGTTCATATATTATTTGATATGCCTCTCTCGTTCCAGTATATTTCCGTATTTTTCCAACATGTGTAATAAGTTGATAAAACGGTTTGGTGTATAACCGTATAAGCTGATTCTACATAAATAAAAAAGAGGTTGATGATCCTTTTACAGAAAGCCAGTGCTGAACACTATTATATGTTGCGTTTCATCTCTGATTTTCTTTTTTTTTTTTTTTTAGTAAGAAGTTTAGTCGCTGCATTTCTAATCACATGGAAATGGATGGAATGGGCTATGGAAGTCAAACCAGTTGCGTAATTATCCCTTTCAAATGATACTGAATCGAGAATCTCATGAGATAAAATGCATTGAAATTTAATAATGGCGAATGCAAGTATAAAAGATTCCTATTACGGAGAAACGCATTTAAAAAATGCACACGATGTGAAAAATGAAATCATAACTATTCACCTTCCAAAGCTATCGTTATTCCTTCAAAACTGACAACTGATTATCTATCAGTGTCTTTGAAGATGCAGAGTTATTTATTCTGTTATTAAAAACGCCCTTTCTGTCATACATCTTTACAAATAAAAGTTAATATTTGTAATATTATTTGTTACATAAAACCCAGCTACTTTAGTACCATGAATTCGGGATAATATATGCAACAAAAGCCACATTAAAACTCACACAAACAAACCAGACACCTTGCTGTACAATTTAACAAATTAAAACATATAATTACGAGTTTGCCTGAAGTTCCTTACGCAATTTTTTTTAAACCTCTTGCAAGAGAAACGCAACGAAAATGATTATTTACTTCGATGGGGTAATTTGTACCAAATATATCTAATCGAAAGAACACGAGCTAAAATAGCAGGCAAAGAGAGTGTCGAAAATGTGTTTTTCTCTTCATTCGAATCCATTTGGCTAAGTGAAAAGAGACGAATTGATTGTGGATTTCGCTCCCTCCTACCCCTCCTCTCCTACCATAGGACGCTTGGATCGAATAAACATCGTTTCATATGCGAAGTAAAAGACGTCCACATTTGTCAATAATGTGTCATGTCTCCCTTGACACAAGGCCCATCTTTTCAATCGACGTCTTGGAAACTGACTGTGTAATTACGATAAAAGCATCCTGGACCAGTGATTGTCTTTCTCTGGATCGATTCGCCTTGGAGAGAAGTTGACATCTAAAGGAAAGAAAGCAAAAGGAATATTTAATTCCCTGCACGGCATGAGTGCAATTTTCACTCTGTTAAGCCTTTAAGAATAATATTAGTTGTAACTCTCCAATCTTAAATGGCGCCTTTTGTTCTAGCTGCTCTATCTGGGTTTGTGATAAAATATCTAATGTGAGAAACACATGACTTCCTTGTACGGCCTACTAAATTAAGCACGTTTTCTAGTCCACCTCATTTAAACTTATTTCCTTGAATTTCATTACAGATATATTTCAGAATATGCAATAATACATAAAAATTGTAAACTACAGAAGAACATAAAACACCAAATACAGTAAAAGACATGATTTTCAGAGTTAAAACTAATTTCTGCGCCAAAACAATACCAATGGCAAAGAAGACCAAATTTTCAGTTTGAAAAATTGAAGGTTAACTTTTGGTCCCATGTGCGAAAGGAAACTAAAATTGGTGCTTAAATTCACTATTCTACTAAGAGTTTCAAACGTACACAAGAAGTGGCCTCGTTAGACCTACGCCACTTAAACTTTCAAACTGTTCATAATTCTGTAACTATTGTATTCACCTTAAATAAAGGCATTACATACTTAACCGGAGAATAAAAACAACATATTTCAACCACTTTAAAAGCAAAAAATGCTCAATTACAAATACTAAGTTCACCGAGCCAGGTGGACAGGGTGGGATAGCATATGCGATTGGTATGGACGATTGCAATGAAAACGGCTAACTAAATGTTACATAACTAAATGTTACAGAAGTCCTATGAACAAGTGACAAGTGACGGAGGACGCGGGCACTGTCCCTTTACCATTAGGTTAATCGGTATAGCACCGCGTCCACCCCTGTCTAGAGACAACACCAAAAAGAAAGTCCTATGTACAATATTTCAACGTTCTAGGGCTATTCGGTTTTGAGTTATGCCAGGGTTTCTTAAATTGTGGGTCGCGGGACTTGCAGCAGAGGGTCGCCAAACATTTTAGCAGTTTTGATATTTCTTTAACTTAATATAATAATTTTACAATTACCAAATATTTTTACACAGTGTATCTAAAAATAGATAAAGATAAGATAATAAGACAAAGAGAAAAATGAAAACATTTCGACGCATTCTTTTTATATAATACATACGTTCATTTTACTTGCCTTGCACATGACGCTGTCCTTTCGTCTGTTACTTTTTAAAATTTTCACATTGCTCTATGTCTTAAAATTAGAAATTAAAGTTAATGACCTAAAACTGCAATACTACGAGTATATTACAGTATAAGTGAAAAAAATTGACAGTTTCACTCACGCGCGTGTAGGATTTGCTCAATACTTAAGGGGTCCATCAAAATTTTTGTAAATATTATGGAGTCCTGGGGTCGCGAAAAAATATCAGTGATAAAAAGGGGTCGCGACTGAAAAAATTTTAAGAAACCCTGGGTTATGCGATATACATACGTATGAACAGATGTTAAGAAAAAATTCTGTTCTGAATCCATTTTAAATCCATTTTACAATCCGTTTTTGAAAAAAAGTATCCTTCATTCTGTCCATACTTACACTGTGAATTAATACACAAAGACAGTCAGGCTTTAAATTTAACCTTTGGCTTGTATTCTAAATAACTGCTTCCTGTTTGTCGCCCAAGAAGCAGAGTCTAATCTTGTTAATTGTTGTAGTTCTGCATCTTCTAGCTGAAGCTCCAAAGAAACCTTTTAATCATTTCATATTATTGTATTTATATGAAGTTGTGGGATTTTTTATTTGAAAACATGCAAACTCCCCGTGCACCACAGATGTACAACACGGGATCTACAGAAGTAAGTTCAGAAAAATAATTAAAACTTGCATACATAAATAAAACGAACAAATGCAGAGAACAGCAGTCTGGACTTCACGAAAACAGATAAGTTCACTGGCCAAGTCATTCCCACCATTTCCAAATCGTTCTGCAAGCATAATCTAAGACCACCAAATGGAGGGCATGAGGAAATCAAATATTCCACATCTAGAGGTACTCTTTTTGAACATCACATATAAATTGTTTGATCTTAGATTAAAACGAAACAGGTAACTCGCAAATTTGCCGTGACCAGATAAAAACTGAGATACTTTAAAACAAATAGAGAGGAAAGACTCGGAATGCAGTCTATGGTAAATAGAAGGAAAGAACATTTTGGTGACCCCAGCCTTACAAGACGAAATATATTTGGTATTGAAAGAGAAAAGAGGAATGAGAATTCGTCAACATTCTGAAAAATCTAGTTGAAGTCGAATTGAGTTTAACCTTATAACGATTTCTCATCGGCGCAAATATTTCTCTTACCCTAGTATGAAAAAGCTTGAAGTCCTAACGATAAAAAAAATTTCTTGTTTAAGCTGCTATGAAATGATACTTGCTTACCATTAGCCGTTGCGACCCCGTATACCTTCTGCCGGTAGACATTCCTTCTGTTCCAGGAGTATGTGTACTTGATGGCAGGATCTGCTTCAAAAACTTTTTCAAACAGTATACCTTCTATGGAAATTCGAAGATGAATGAGCTTCAGGTCTTTCGGCACAGTGTCTGGGGTCAGCTGTAGTTGGATAGTAGAGAGGTAGCCTCCGGCCCTGCTACTATGGTATACCAAATGTAGATCAGTTCCTGGTATAGGGAGACTCTCTTGGATTACCTGAAATAACAACAAAGGGCAAGTTTCAGATCTTTTTACTTGAAGGTATCGCTAATTCTCCTTATGCCGTAAATTAATCTATTAGTCTTGAATGGAAGTATTTATATAGTAGCCGTATTACTGATTAAATTCATAATTCGATGTTCTATACTTGCTTCGTGTTTAAGTTTTATCTAAGCATGTTCATTACATTTTATGGTAAAAATGCTCAAGGACTATCCGTATATCTATCTATCTACATCCTGTACTCTCTTCTGGTTCAATGAAGAACACTACGGGGAGACAATTTTGGATCCTTTCCCGAAATTGACGAAACAACTGATCAGCCATACGCTCAGCATATGCAGCCATAAGATTGGAAGCGTTAACATTAAATAACCGCGCTCGACTGGAAATTCGGTTAACCTCAGCAACGGAACCCACTGGTCTGTGCCAAACATATAAACTAATAACAACCAAAAAAAATCTGAATACTTTCAGATTTTATATTACGCCCACACGGGCGTTTTTTTAACGTTTTGTATGTTACCTTCTTTTATTAAAGGTATCATTCTTTTCATTTAAACTATGAAATTAAATTCAATAGCAATAACACAAAATAATTTAAAAAGAGCCTATCTTTAGAATTTCCGATACACAGTCTCGCCCGCTGGAGGTAAAAATGTCTTTTTTTTTTCGTACAGTGTTGCCATTGCTCGCTTTGAAATCGTTGAGTTTCTTAATACAAAATTCCTTAAAGCTTTACAAAATATGAAATAGATGATAAAGCAAATTCCGCATTCCAGATTGGGGCTTCCAAATGACCATATTCAAAATTTGAAAATTTCAAAATTTGATGTCTCTAGTATCGTTGTTTTTCACAGTGCGAGAAACATACATACATGCACGTAAATTCATTATTATTTAATTTCTTTAAATATAATGCAGGGCTGTCATATTTGGTGGCAACAATTTGTAACGTGAAACGCCGTTTATAGTAAACCAACGCAAAATGCCAACACAAAATGAATAGCCCTTCTGGGCAAATTGCCCCTTTGGGCTAAAAATAATAGAGTAAGGAAGAAAAACATATACGGGGGGGGGAAACGATTTCATGCAAGTTCTCTTGCTCTTAAGAAATGTAGATAGAACATAATGATATAATATTTACTTGGTCTTAAATAATTGCTAATTTGCTCATGTAATATAATTAATTATTTATAATTACCGTGCCTTCGGTTTTAATAATATATTACACAATTTGTTGAAGTGTAGAGACACACATGTATTGTACAATTGTTTGTATTGTACAATAAATATTTCTTTGGAATGTTTGTTGCATATCCTAGTAAATGCTTTGCTTTAACTGAAAGTAATGGACATTCCCAAATACTCGTATAATGTTTAGCATCTGTCAGAAAGATAGATGTCTTCATGGGAACCGAGGGAGAGGAGGGAGGTCTTCATGGAGGAATTTTATGCGAAATTGCTTGCAGTCACGTTATCCATGGAGAAAAACACGAAAACATTTATGCAGCCAGCTCTTTATTACCAGTATTGAATAAATTTAAACTCCGCAACTAGTTAGACGAATAAGAAATTAAATTTGAGAAACATTTTTTAACTTTGTGCTTTCGGTGGCATTTAAATTATCAATTCTGTCAAACATTAAATCATTATACATTAAATCAATCAATCAATCAATAAATATCAAACATTACAAGTTTGCTCAAAAATTAAGTATTTGAAAACTTATACCAATTAACCCCAATCCCCCACAAAAAGGGTAAGCAGAAATGACAACATAAATTCTACTGAACACCTTCTTATCCTCTTTTTTGTTCGGTAAATGTTCTAAATTATACAGAATCTTTATTATATACGCTTAATCAAGAGGATGTGATTCAATAATCTAATACACTATAATACTTAGAAACAAGTGATGAATGTAATTTTTAAAGTATATATAAATTAAAAAAATGGAAAGATGGCCTTAGGAAAATACACTTGCGATTAATTTGGTATTTGTCATAAAACTATTTTCCCCCCGAATTTGTCTTGCTAAGTTAAAGTAATATTTGAAACCTTATCAACATCAGGATAAAGTTATTATTGCAATTTTCTTATTTCATTTGTATTGAGTTGTTCGGAAAGTAATTTTTTTATGAAAATGAAAGAAGATATTTTTTATAGTGAATAAATATTTTGTTGAATTATATCTTGTTCATTCTGATCCAATACTTTTTGCCACCTTTCTAGGAGTTCCATGCTCATATTTTTTTTTTTTTTTTTTTTCTGGCAAAAATATGATCCAGGTGATTTTTGACTTCATCATTTTGAAGTAAAGGTTTTACCGCCTAAAAATATAGAGATCGGAACAAATAATAATCAGAAGGTGACAGATCTGAATAATATGGCGGGTATGGCAGTATATACAAACCAAGCTGTAAAAGCTGTTGGTGGAACATTACCCCTTTTCTGTTGATCATTCCTGGCGTTTACTGTTTAAGTGAATTCAGTTTGTCAAGCTGATGACAATACACCTCAGAACTGATTTTTGTATTGTCCGGTAGAGGTCTAAAAAAAGAAGATTCCTTTGAAATACCGCCAAACGGATTGCATGGCCGTTTTAATGAATATCAGCTTTCGAAGTACTTTGAGCGGGTTCATATTTTTTACTCCATGGTCTCTTGCATTCAGTGTTGTAGACAACACACTTCTCGTTCCCAGTGATGATGCGCTTCAAAAATGGATCATTTTCTTGACGTTTGACAAGCAAATTACAAACGTCAATGCGAAGGCACAAGTTTCTTTCCTTGGAATAATGAGGAATCCATATGCCGAACTTTGAGATTAAACCTAGGCGTTTCAAATGATCATGAACGTTTGAATTCGATAAATTTAATCTCTCAGCAATTTCACAAGTTGTTGATAACCGGTTTGCATCATTTAATGTCTTTATTGTGCCTTCATCAGCTTTAACTTGCCTTCCAGATAATGGTGCATTTTCTAAAATTTCCGGATCGGAATTTTACAAACCAGTTTGGGCACCAGGTTTTTGTCAGTACACCTTCTCCATACATATTAGACAATTTTCCTCTTGATTTAACAGCAGTTTTACCTTTTCGATAGTATAAAATATATGCCGAAAGTATTGCTTTTCACTTTCCATATTTGAAAGGACACCAACCAAAAACTACTGCATAGAATCAACTGAACTTTCTCACAAGCAAGACTTGCTACATCAGCTGTTAAAACATATAATGATTATGCAGCTTAAGAGTGAAGTTTCGGTAAAAAAGTACAATTAGGCCCTCTGTTGGGGAAAAAACGAAATTACTTTCCAAACAACCCAATATATGAATATAATAAACAATGAAAGTTTCTTTTGATACATTCGACTGCCATAGTCCTTCGTTTATAATAACCGTTCAGTTCCTTCTGCAGTAGAAGATGTAATTATATTTCAAATGTTTTTGAAACCGTTATACGGGAATTCAGGGTGAAGTTAAAAATCAAATAAAATTTTACATTTATCATTGAATTCTAACTTTAAAAATTTATAATTTAACCACTTCTATCTGAAAGCCACATTTTTACAATCCAGAATGACATATGAAGGGCTCTGAAACGGAAGATTTGTTAATTCGAACATATACTTAAAAATATAGCTCTGCCTGAGATTTTATAATACACTAATTTAGATAGAAAAACCAAGTTTGAAAACTAATTGAAAGAAAACCAAGTTTTAAAACTAATTAAGTACTACAACTGACAGTAATAAATAAATAAAACGATTTTCTGATCGACCTCCTGAATTCCTATGCTTGTTTATTAACCATCAATGAAGTTTATTTATTGTTCAGAAAGAAACATATAATTTTGAGACTGAAACTTCTTGTTTTCGCAAAATTACCTGTGATTCAGCCAATATTGAGTTCCTTTCAGGACAGCCTCCTTGGAACCCATGTTTCCAAGTTGCCAGAACGACGGGCTTCATCGTCTCATAGTCATGATGAGGACAGGGAACTATCTCGGAATCTTTTTCTTTAGTCTGCTCTCCACGATCTCGAGTGAGGGTGATCTTGTTCACTACAACGATCTCATTCCAGGGTACAATAACTGTGATCGTTTTAGGTACAAATGGCTCTCTCTGTAAGTGAAGTTTAACAGCTCCGCCTCCATTCACAAGCAGATCAAACCTAAAAATATCAGTCATTTTTACTTGCTTGTTGTTTAGACAAAAGAATCAGGCTTAAAAACTTAATTTTTCATGCAGTTAATTCAAACAAATGCAGTAAAATCCATACAGTTGAAATACAAATGATATAACTGAACTAAGATAAAAACATCTGAATTACAGTATTATATTAGTGCATACTCTATTCATGTTTTAATTACAACGTAGAGACATTAGGCATTTTTTGAAAGCAGGAGACAGGAAAAATGAGCAATGCCTTCGCCGGGACTCGAACCTCGGACCTCTACGGGCCGAGTGTGCTGACCATTACACCACGAAGGCATGCTAAGAAGGCGGGGAGAAATACTTTATATACTTTCCATTTTAAAGGGCGACTGGCATAAGGATACCCAATCGCCAAATGCTGGTGGTGGGAAATCATCATCCAGCTCGGACGCCACTATAGGGACATTAGGTTATTTCGAAGCAGCAGACATGAAAAATGAGCAATGTCCTCGCCGGGACTCGGATCTCTCGGATACGCGCCGAGTGTGCTCACAATTACACCACGAAGGCATGCTAAGAAATCGGGAGAAATAATTTATAACAGTGGAAATTCGTAAAATAACAGAAACTAGAAAGTATAAAGATGAAAACTTTGTAAATAAGTCCCACTGTTAGTGTGTTAGTGAAGGAATATATGAAACAGATGACAAATGTATTTCACAGTTAGCGGGACAGATAGTTTTCATGAACATCACACTACGAAGGGTACGGACTGATACTGTAAACGCAAGTGACTTCAGGTACTGCACAAAGAATGTGGACAGTTTGCTCGTGCACCCTCATGCACGTGCGAAATTTCAAATGGTGTTCCCGAACGAACCTTAGCAAAATTATTACGGATATACTAAAAACAACACTCTGAAATAGAGATGTGCACCCTAAGCATATTAGTGTAACATACTAGAACTGAGTTTCATCAAGCTTAACCTTTCTCGTGGCTCTTGGATATCAGTTCCCGAAATTGAGAATTAAAGTTACAGAAAAAGAGAATTTCCCCTCCCCCCCGAAAAAAAAAACAGAAGTCATAAAAAATGTATTAATTCTCTTTTGAATAGGCTCGATTTGGTCGTAAGAGCAAGATACTTGAATACCTGAGGCAAATATAGGATATCAGCTTCTAAATTTCAATAATATTTAATTAGTATATAAGGTATTTTCTCCCTCCTTTCCGCATGCCTTCGTGGTGTAATTGGAAACGTATTCGAGAGATCCAGGCTTCGAGTCCCGGCAAAGCCACTGAATATTTTTCACGCTTCCATTTTCAAAAGAAAAACCTAATGATTCTACACATGCTCCGAACTAAAAAAGTGGTGGATGATAATTCGTTACCATTAGAGTTTGGCGACTGGATCCCCTAATCCCCAGTCACATTTTAAAAGGGGGAGTATATAAGGTATTTTCTTCCTCCTTTCCGCATGTCTTCCCGTTGTAATTGGAAGCATACTCGATGCGTATTCGAGAGCTTCAGAGTTTGAGTCCCGGTCAGGGCCCTGCACACTTTTCAGATCTCCAAAAAACTTAACGACTCTACAAATATAGCAAATGAGCAGTTTTGGTAAGAAAAATAAGAAACGTGCATATAACGTCAACCGAAAATGGACTTTTATCCGCAAAGGGCAAAGGTTATGACATTAGATGAACAACAACTAAAATACGACGCACTGGAAAGAGCGAGCTATATAAGGGTATAAAGATAGCTTCTCTTTATTGATTAGGAGCATTTGGTTTTTGTTACTTTTTTAAAGACGTGTTTTTTGCGTTAGAACATTTACAGGAAGCATGCACAAACGTACTACTTGCCTTTCCAAATACTAAACAAATTGTCTACATTCTGTTGTCATATATTTTTGCTTATTATAGTAAAATTTAACAGTATTTCAATCATCTACTCTTTTTAAAAAACTGTCGTTTTATTCTTTGCATTACATTCTTAGAATTTAGAAATGTGAAAAGTTAACTACAAGGAAGGGCACATATTTGATGACTGAGGGTTGACCTTCGATTACAACTTCCAGTGCGTTTAACACTTTTTCAAGAATGAATATTTCTCAACGTTAAAGCTTGAGTGGATTTTTAAGAGTAACTAAATAGTATATTCAGAAGGACGTTTACATTTTTGACGCAACAGTGATTGTGACAATAACGCAGCGATAAATTGTGAATTCTCCTGGTGTTTACCGAGGCACACTAGCGACCGAGCGGTGAAGTCGCTGAACACTAGTAGTTCGGTCCGAGGTTCGAATCCGCGAAAGGGCTAACTGCATGGGTGGTTTCTCCATGTGTAACGTGTATACTATCCAGTTTCCCTTAGAAAGTCCCCCCCCCGAAGGCATCCCTCAGGCAGATAACCCTCGATGCTTTGTAGTAATCACATAAACCAAACCAAATCAAATCAATGCTGGTGTTTACTTGTAGAAAATAAAGGTTGCAAAAATAACTCGTTACATGGAAGATAACGACTTAATGTAATTAATTTGCTCGGAAAACTCGAAGAGAACTCTGAGAAGAAAGCTGTTGAGCTTATTGGAATCTGCTGTCAGATACAGCCTTACTCATTATGGGTGACATACATCTGTAGCTATGAGTACTCTCATATTCACAATTTTAATGATGTTTCTTCATTATTTTTAATAAATATTTCCGTATTCATTATTTCAACACTCTTTTCCTTTCTGCGGGGAAAGGCTATGTATCGCGAAATTATTTGTGACGGTTGGCGGCGAACATGGAGGCCTTTTATTATCAGATAATTGAATAAAAGTTGGTTGGATGGTTTGGGAGATTATGGCAAAGTATACTAAGGCTACTCGCCTAATGTAAGAGATGCCTTCGTGGAGAACTTTCTAAGGGAATCTGCAGCCGACTCGTTCGCCTGGAATCGGACCCGGTCGGGACGCGTGATGGCAAACCGCACATTGAGTTGATCAGTGTTGTCGAATTTAGCTTACTGCGCATACTCAATGGTGTACCATTGGCTCAGGAAGAAATACTGGCGACTAAAGCATAAACAACCCTACACAAGCCTGTTCGTCATGTAGGTATCATCGACTGTTTACAGTTGCAATAATACGTACATTTGTTTGTGCTTATTGCATTTGATTCTGTTTCATTTCATTTTGGTTTATTTTTTCATAAATATTACATTTAATATATGTATTATCAGTTATATTTATAATAATTTCTCTGACTTTAAATTCAATAATTTAAACTGGATTTATTCTTTAATTTGTTAAAGCATATACGAATGAAGGAATGGTAAATACTCATTAGCTTTTATTCCTCGGAAGCATAATCAATGAAGATGCAGCTAATATAGCTTGTAATGTTTCCTGTTTTATAATCCTTCTTAAACGAAAATTTGCATAGTTTGCAATCGATATTTACACTCTAAGTAATGAAGCAAATTAAAACTAACAAGTTTAAACCTCCGAACTGTTTACGCCCAGATAACAGAATATTAACCATATACCGTTTGTCTTCTTTTAAAATTGCGCCAAATCGTCTTCTGGGCATACGCAATATACGAAATTCGTTTAACATCGATTAACTGAATGTGCGGTCTGCCATTACGGGGTCGCGGCAGGACAACCAGTTTTCAGCAATTTTACCACTCTGCCGCCAGTGGGTTATTTCAGTAAAAAACTGTAGAGTCGTTAGTTTTTTTTTTTTTTTTTTTTTGTTTTTTTTTGTTTTTTTTTGAAGCTGTTAATGTGAAAACCGCTGGGACTCGAACCTGGACCTCTCGAATACGCGCCGATTGTGCTAACTGTTACACCACGAAGGCATGCTGGAAGAAGGACGAATATTTTTCTAGTTAAAAATTAAATATTTCAGAGCTGTAATACTATACTGAGGAATTACAAAATTGGTTTATTGTTCGTTAAAAATAATATTTTAGAATTCTAGATAACTATGGAAGTTTTAACCTATTTTTATTATATTCCACATCTAAAAGGTTCCGCAAGAAAAATAATCAAGCTGAAAAGCACACGATGCAGAAACAGACATAAATATTTTAAGGTAAAATTAAATATATAATTATATATGTAATATATATAAAAAATACGATAGCTGTTTTAAAAAAAATAATTGGCGATCTCAAAATTAACATTTCTAGATTTGGTGCTCTCCCCCTAAATTCATCTGTTCTCTCAAATTCGAGATTTTTCTACTTTATGTAACGCTACTGGGAAAGGGCAACTTAAACTAATACTATCAACAAATCACGAATTAGCTCTACTTATACCTCAGACTTGATATAAATACTGTTGGCAGAATAACTACGTCATTATTCCGCTAGCTTGTACCTTGCTAATATCTCCTCGCTTCGCTTCTGTAAAATGCCTGCGTCATTCTTTTCAAAAAAAGAATGTGCGTAAAATATTATCGTAATTGTATGACTAAAGAGTATGTTGTCTACGCGGAATTATATTAGTGTGCCTGCAAATCTGCGAATAAAGATGAGAATTGGCTAAATCTAGTTTGGTATCAACTCCTTCCTCTCGCTATACCACGCAGCCATCGGGACTGTGCTTCGAAATTATCACATATATATATGTAAGATTAAAAGAATGTAAATCAAAATTATAATTTAAACTAACGGGTAACCCGTTAATCCTTTCCTCTCTGTTCTAAAAATGGTGATAACTTCTCTGGATTGCCTCATTTCTAGTCATTGCGTTATGACGTAGCTAATTGGGAACCTAAACTTGGAGAACTTAAAAAAACCTTTCTCTTAAGAGCCTGCAATATTGGGTAAGTGCGTCACTTTCAGTTTGAACTTCTGTGCTGATTGTCGTCGGTTCGTTTTGCTCGCTTCCTATCGCAATAATACTATTAAAAATGTTAATGTTCTCGAATAGGCCCGATTTAAGTGCCCAGTGAACCGCGGCCGTAAATGTCAACTGAAAATAAAAAAAAAATGGAATTAAAACCACCACGACTGCCAGGTTTATT